ATCACTTTTAAGGGGAGAGGAACCAGTATTATCAAACATGGATATTTCCACCGGACACATGGTTTTGGTAATTAACTTTGAAAAGTATTCACTGTATAACTGCAATAATGCTACATTATGTACTTCAGGCATACATGGAAGATCATCTAAACAACAAGAACCGATTGGACAGCGAATGGGCTGCGCTATGCGCTTACGAGGCAGAACCATGTGCGGTAAACGTTGCAAGAAAGGTGAGTAAAATATGATCAGCTAATGACCACTTTATCGCAATATATAAAAAAAAAAAAAAATAGGCAAGCGTTCAATGTTCATTAAATTATAACTTTATAAGGTTACAGTTAATAAATAGTAGGTATACATCTACTTAAGAAATGTTTGAATTAATATTAAATAAAGGGAAAGATATTTACTGAACTCAATTTTTAAAAACGCTTTTTATTTTTTAATTACTTACATCACCTACCAAGGTTACAAGTTTCAAAATTTCACCAAAGTAATTGTGCAACTTTAAAACTGCGTTAATAACACCTAAATAAGAATTTTGTGTTGTTAAAAATGCAAATATTCAATTCTATTTTTATAAATTAACTTATCTGTTGCATAGGTACTTAGTAAGTATATTAGAGGTACCTTAGCCTATAGAGTATAGGTAATTAATAACATGTTTGTATCTACTAAATTATTAAATAAAGAAATATTAGTTTGTTTATTTTTATTTAAAATAATAAGACATACAGAAAAAAATAAAACAGGTTATTATTACCTACCTAACCAAAATTATAATTATTTAGGTATAAAGATGATATTGCAAACATTACTTTTATTTAATTTATTATTTTTCAAATTAATTTGATATAACTAAAAAGTATTTAACATAATAGACACTGGAATCAGTTACTATCTAATTAAATAAAAAAGTTACGAAAAAAAATTAATTTGTAGCTACATTTAATACCTATTATTATTACATTTGTACCTATACATACACTTTTAACGGTTTCAACTCACGCAGCGAGCTTTGTACGATTACTGTTATTATTTTTTTTTTTTCATGTGTTTCTCATAGCCGGAAAATGCCAAGAAAAATCGTTACATCAATGCACTACCATACGATCACGCTAGGGTCGTGATCAACGAGTACGCCAACATGAACAACTCGGACTACATAAACGCTTCAACAATAGTACGTCTGATCAGTATATACCATAGACCAATAAAAAATTGGATTAACGATAAAGAAAGTTTCGGGGGCCAAATAGTTGGAAAAAATGATAAGTATAGGTAGTTAATTTATAGCTGTTACTCATCAACAGTGCCAAAAGATCAAAAAAACTAAGAAGCCCTCGCTCCGTCTATAGAGATAACCATTACTTTTCATTTTTCATTCACATATTGTGCCTATTATTGTTATATTATAATATATTTAATTAGCAAAACACTAACTTGTCTACACCGAATTACCGACCATATTCAGTGGGGGCTTATCAATAAATTCAATTAAGTTCTTAATTTCCGATAACAGACTTGTATTTTAATAGATACTCGCTATTAAATTAGGATAACCAAAAAACTCCATTATGCGGAGACCCAAAATCCGACTTTGTCTACAAAGTGAGCGAGAAGTTTAAAAAAAAAAATAACATACAAATCCTAGCACGTGCACACATACCTACGGTTCTCATTTTAATCATATTGGTTACTATAAGCAACTCACAGCAGCACAACGTACAATTTATTTATTAATATATACATTGTGTATATCGTATACTTACTAATTTTCAATATTATGATTATTAGATTATATGAATACCTATTCAATGGTATACAGAGAAATATCCAAAGGGAAAGGGGGCGGAAGTTATATTACAATATGAATGTATATTTTATAAAAACATTTTCGTGTTTTTACATGACGAAAAAAATCCAAGGGGAGATAAGCACCTTTCCCCACCTCGGACGTACAACAACACTGCCCAAAAAGTATTAATATTTTTTTGTTGACCATATTCGTTTTGCATAGACCGACCACGATCCCCGTAACCCAGCGTATATCGCGACACAAGGACCGTTGGCCGAGACATCGGCAGACTTTTGGCAAATGGTATGGGAACAAGGGTGCGTGGTGATCGTCATGTTGACTAGACTTGTGGAAAACGACGTGGTGTTGTGCCATCGTTACTGGCCAGAAGAAGGATCGGAACTCTATCACATATATGAGGTAGGTACCTAAATTCTTTAACTATATCTCTATATAGATGTAGGTACTTACTTCATAAATTTACACATTCACTTATCGTAATCGGTTCGATATAGAATTATAAAATCTATAGGTACATCAGGTATACAAAAAACAGCAAGTAAGCAGTTACCTAAAATTGGTATACGTTTTTTTTTTTGCATGTATTTTAGGTGCATTTGGTGAGCGAACATATATGGTGCGACGATTACTTGGTAAGGAGCTTTTACTTGAAGAACTTGAAAACCGGAGAAACTAGGACCGTCACTCAGTTCCACTTCTTGACATGGCCGGACGGAGGCGTACCGAACACCACCAAAGCTCTTTTGGAATTCCGCAGGTAATCTACGATGGTAGTTCGATAAGAAAATATATAGTTGGGAAATTTTGGGATTAAAATATCTTACAGATTAAAATAAAAACGTGAAAACCGTTAAAATAAAACACATAGGTACCTAACGCAATCGTCAAAGCTGATACATTTATCGCACGCATAGTAGGTACATGACATTAAAAAACTACCTTTTTTCAGGAAAGTAAATAAGTCGTTCCGTGGCAGATCTTGTCCTATTGTTGTGCATTGCAGGTAAGTACCTACCGCCTTGGGTAAATAATACTCATGCAATTTAAACGTAAACAGAACAATATTATGTACCTATACCTAACCCATTTTATCATAATATGCAGTGATGGTGTTAGTCGTACTGGTTCGTATTGCCTATTGGATATGGTGCTTAATCGTATGGCGAAAGGAGCTAAGGAGATCGATATAGCTGCTACTCTGGAGCACATCCGGGATCAGCGTTCAGGTGCGGTGGCAACAAAGGCGCAATTCCAAATGGTTCTGGCCGCTGTGGCCGAAGAAGTGCAAGCCATATTGAAAGCTTTGCCCCAACAACAAACACCTCAACCTTTACCTCCACCTCCACCACCAGCCCAACATTAAATTTCTTTTATCCTGTTACACATACACGATTTAAGCTCTACCCTTTGCTAGTGTTTCCTTAACTATAGGCTCAAAAAATCTTTTTTTGATCTCATCATCAACTATATCTTCTAGATGTCTTAATATCATAATAAAACATTTATTCGGATGCTTGAAACTCCAGCATAATATATAAACGTAGCGCCTTTCATTTTCCTATTCAAGTGTTGATTTATGTTATGATATTTAAATATTTTACCGGTCAATTGTTACCAATACAAAAATAACCATAAAGCAGGTTAATTATTATGTATTTTTTTATTATATAATTTTAAATGTTTTTTTTATTTATTTTTATGTTAAGTATACATTTGTTAATTTTCTCTTCAAAAGTCATGAACTGTTTAAGTTAAGTTTTCAATTTTATTTAATAACCACTCAGATATTTTAACATTCATATAACATTTAGTCATAGAATTATAATTAAATTAACTATTAATTATTACTTATTAGAAATCATATTATGATAGTTTTTGACTTTGAAATTAAATTTATTATAATAACAGATATACATATAACATATAACTACATTATATATATATAAAAATTTTATGTTAAAGAATATATAATATATACTTATAAATTATAATAAACAATTATTAATATTAATAGCCATAGAGAAGTATTTAAATTATATTTATGCAAATTATAATACCTGTCTAATGTGAGATCTAAATCATCCGAATAAACTCTGAACTGTTCCCTAATGAATAAGCAGTAGTTTAATTTATTTGTTCATTTATTTATCCCAAAATTATTAAGCCTCAGCACCTTATGTTTTCAGTGATCATGTAATATAAATTTTATTCGCTGAATTAATAATAATTAATAGCTGAATAAATTTATAGTACTATAAACAATCAAAGGTTAGCACTCATCTATTCATCATTGGCACTCTAAAATATGAATTTAAACTTTACACAATATTTGCTTTTAAAGTTTGTTACACATGTTTTATCAAAGGAAATAATACTATTTATTTGGACATATTAATATATTATGTATAGGTAATACAATAGATTTGCATAAAATAATTTTAAATTATGATAAACAATATCCTACTATTAATAAGAAACATAAAACACTATGATTTAAAATTTATACCTCAAACAATTTAAAATATTGACATATAATATGTAATATGTTAGGTAGGTACGTACTACATACATTATTAATTTGGAACTAAATGTATCAAGTATATATTTAAAATTTTGAATTTTTTATGGGCTAAAATGTTATAACTTTCCATATCATCAAAATTAATAAATTACCTTTCTGTTGTTATTTTACAAAAATGTGAAATGTGCATGTGATAGACTATAGGTCATTATAAAAATATTGCACATTTGTTGCAAAACAAGAATAAATTAATCTATTCATTTCAGGGTAAAGTTTTTCAGTTCTTCAATCAAACTAATTTTTGTGAATGATAGATAACTTTTTTTTAATTAAAATAAGTATTAAAAAAATATATATGTACAACAATCTTATAGCATTATAATCATTTCAAACAGTAAAAATATTAACATTATATTATTTATATAATAAAAATAAGATTTTAACAAAACATATTTTTTACTAAAATATAAACTAATGATAAAGCATATCAAATTAAAGTTATATTGTGAACTATATTAATTTTAAAAAATCTTATGAACAAACAAAATTTTAAATTATATTTTATAATTTATACATTATTTTTAAGTCACTAAAATTATTAATTTATAATTTTATATTATTTTATCCTTTTTAAAGAAATATTTAAAAATACTCTCATTAGATTATGTTAAAAAAATAACAAATAAATTATAGTCCCAAAATATAATATCATAAATAAATGATTTATGAATCGTCTAAATTTGATTGGTAAATATTGCTTAAAGAATTACAGGCTAATAGTAAAGATTTATCTGATGTTAAATTGTTTTTCCATGTTGAAACAAACCTCTGAATGCCAACTTTAAAATATTCAGGATCAATCATAAATTGTTCTTTTATTTTATTATGAACAAATTGAAATTCAGATAAAATGTTTTCAAATTCTTTTTTTTCTGCATTTTGTTTTTGTTCATCATAATTAGTTGTATTTAATACATAAGTATCATTATCTACTGAACAGTGCATGGTTTTTTTATTCAAATGTTCACTTAAAAACACTTGATGGATACATGGAGAACATATATTATTTAAAGTGCAAGAACAAAGTCCAATGCCCATATCGACAAAAAATTTGCCACCATCATTATTTTCTACTAAGTACATAGAATGATTTTCATTCACACAACAATAAGTAAAGCAGTTATCATCTCTGTTAATTTCTTTGAAGTTATTTAAAATTAATTGTTGATTATGATTTGGAATTTCTGTAACCAAATTTTTGTAGAAAAAATTAATTTCATCAATAACAAAATGAAATGTTTGCAAGATTGAAAGTGATTTAGTATGGTAATAAATAAATTTCCGTTCAGAAATTGTGGAGCATGGATGAGTAGACATAGTTGAACAATATAAAAAATTGTTTTTATCAATACTTTGGATAAATTGATTAAAATTTGGATATTTTTCAATTAAAACATTAGCAAAATTTGTATCTATAAAATGGTCAACAATAAAACTTTCTGAACATACTATTTTTTTTAATTCAATAAAACAATTTAACTCTTCGATCAAATTATTTTTATTTGTAACATTAATAAACCATTTCCATACACTCACCAAAAAATGAAATTTTGAAATACAAACAGTGGCTTTAGGGAAAACTGTTTTGAATATATGTGTATATACTAAATCTACTATAACAGTTTTGATCCTACCTCCTAACTTTTCCCATAAACATAAACCTGCTTTTAACAAACATTTTTTATCATCAGTAGATATAATTACTCCTACCGGGATCATTATTTTTTTACTAGTTTCACTAAACATAAACCACGTTTTACAAATATCTGAACTAGTTGAGCACACAATTACTGTATCAGTATTTATTGTTCCCATTAGTGGAGTTCGAATTGCAACCACAATATTGTTTTTTATTAATTCAATAGCGGCACTATTTCTTCCTACTCTGACATTATAATAATTTAAAGATTTCATTAATGAATCAACACGTTTACTGAAAGGCGATGAAAAACTAGATTTTCTAATATGCCGGTAATACAACTCATAGACAAATTCTACATCTGGTTTGATTCCTGAATCCATCAATTCCAAATAATGATTTTTACCTTCATTTTGTATTATTTTAATTGAATAGATATGCAGTGCACCAGCTGCTGATAGACCATTTTTTAATAAACGTACAAATTGATCATAAACATGAAATATATCTAAAGATTTCATTGGAGTTAAGTAATTTTTAGGATGACAATGACAATGTTTCATAAGTATGACAGCTTTTGATTGATGAGCTCTGAAAATAACAAATCTTAGTCTTAAAAACTTTAAATTACTTTAAATACTTTCTACTGAAATCACAATTTTACTTACAGTTCTCTATTTAAAGGTTTAATCATAACTGTTAGACTGGCATTACAATTAGTTGGGTTCTGCAGAATACTGTTGGATTTAATATTCCAATAATCAGTGTTTTTGCATTTATACACTTTCTAAGATTAGAGAAATTTTATAATGTTTTAATATAATACTATGTTATAATGAATGTATTAGCTAACTTTACTTACACGATAGATATTTTTTAAAGAAATTGAAGGTACATTATCAGTTATATAGTTAACTTTAGTTTTATTACACAAATTATCCAACCAATCTAAAAATGATTCTTTATCAATGTTATTAATCAGAAATTTTGCTTTGAACTGTCCATATAAAATATCTTTGAATGCTAATATTTTATAGGAATAATTATCTGGCAAGCAATCCTAAAGTAAATAAATAAACAATTATTTTTACAAACAATTTTCAATTTAAAAAGCATCTAAAAGACCAAAACATTTCAAATGTTTGAAAATGAAATCTATGCATAAAAAATATTGATAGATATCAAAAAAAGAGACTATATAATTCTACTACAAATATAAACTTACTTTTAATGATAAATAAGCATTGAGTTTTTGAATAACTCTTTTCTTTGATGGCCTTGAATTATACTTGCTCAAATTTAATTTTGAATTACTGTGCTCTAAGTGTAAATGTTTATCTAACAAACTATTATTATTAAACTTTTTATGGCATTGTGAACAGTTTAATAAACTTTTGGAATCATCATCACATATTATAGAAACGCTAGATTTGTGAACAGTTTCCATATGTTTTAAAATATCTTTTCTTAATGTAAAAGTCTGTGAACACTGACTGCATGGATACAAAATATCCATTATTGAAAAGGTTGTTAACCTATTAAAAATAAAATAATACTTCAAAACTAAGTACAATAAAAATTATTTTAATAATATAAATTATTTTAAGCGGATAAATTAACATTCTAGAATCTAGTTAGTAAATCTTAGGAAAATATTAATTGTGAGGCTTTGCAATGATTGAATTTACAATAGTAAACCTAGGAATAAATCTTATAGATTTATTTTTATCATTCCATATACTTTGGTTAATGAAGAATCTTTCATATTTTTAACATAAGTTAAATATATGATAAAATGCATTTAATAATAGTTGATAAATAATCTTTTTTGATATTTTTTTTATTGAAAGATCCTTAACCAAAAAAAAAAAGAGGTGTTACTATGAGGAATAGAAAAATTAATATTTATTGAAATTTAATGTTAAAATTTATTATTATTGTAGTTGGGTGGGATGCTACAATAGCTAAAGCCAGGCAATAAACTTAACAATCATTTTATTTATCTCCTCAACAAAAAAAACTTTGAAAACACCACTGGTTGTTGAATATTAAAAAATTTGAAAGCAATGAGTATTGTTGATTATGCATATTAATATATATGTATTATTAATCTAGACAATGATGCTAAACTCACACTTCAGATACTTCAATAATTGAACTACTATGAAAATAGGTTGGATAGGTAAAATAATAAAGTCCAACAGAGGAAGTGCAAGCCAAATCTTTCTACTAAAATTTTAATAAACACAAACAATTCATTATTTTTATTTAAAATAGTATATTTATGCATGGCTATGCTTAAATTAAAAGAGGTGGGTTGGGAAATCCAATTATTTGAGCGATTCAATTTCATTTTAAACCACTAGGCACTAGGTATGGATAACAAATAAATACATATTTGTAATAAATATTTTATAATATTTAATATTGGTAAATATTATATCTATTAAAATTGTTATAATAGAACATTGATTGTCCAAACAATCAATTAAATAAACACCAAATAGGTACAAATTATATACTAACCTAATTTATAAAATAAAAATTTTACTGTAGTTCCACTAGTAATATTATCAAATACATTTTTAACTTTATTTAATATTTAGGCATAATTTTAAATTCTATACTGGCTAAATTAGGTATTTAAATATAATAAATAGATGTATATAATAATATAAATATTATAAATAGGGCCTGGATTTTTATGCTTTAAAAACAATAGAAATATACATTTTAAAATATGCAATAAATAAATAAATAAACTCTTTAAAATAATAAAAATGCAAAACCAAAAATTTAATTTTTAAGAAAAAAATTATTGTATATTTAATATTAAGTTTAAAGCATTAATAAAATAGAATTAAATAAAACAACATTTTTAATGTTACTTTTAATTATTTTGAATCTGAATCTTTTTAGCGATTCAATGTAGCTCGTGAGTGAGACGTGTTAAATAAGTCATATTGGTATAAAAATAAAATGCATCAAGAGATCTTACTGCTTTGACCATGTATGATGCAGCATCAGTTTTACAAATATAAAAGAAAACAAATTCCTTATGAATCATAGATTTAAGTGGGTAAAACCAACAAATATTATTAGTAAAACAAATAGATATGAAACACTTATGTAGATATTAGTAAAATACAGAAATATACAGTATACATGAAAAATAAAACTTAGTATTTCAGATTTATTGGCTATAATTCAAACTTGTAATTAATCTAGCTACTATATAGACCATAAAAAAAAAAAACATGTAAATGCATATAAATTTGTAGGTACCCTAAATCACAATAAAACCCATATTAAGCTACAAACTCGACTACCAGTGCGCAATCATGTTGCATTTTTCAGGTAAAAAGGTAGAAAGTGCACAATAATGTTACACTCATTGACTACATAAATCACTATTTTTTATCTGCTAACAGGCATTTTTACTGAAGACTGTTTATACATTACTGATTATCTCAATAAAGTACACATTATGTGTCATGTATTTCCATACCCTGTAATTAATTGGATAATCGACATTCTACTACATATAAACTTTTTAAGAAAATATTGTAAACTATGATTATTATTCCTTATTTACTTACAAATGTAAGCTACCTATTTAAATCTAAACTATTAACAATTTATACTAAATGTTACTTAATACGTTTTACTAGTTAGTACATACTTAATAGCAGATGTCTGATAGTTAATGACTTAAATTAGTTATTAGAATATTTCAATTTCAAATATCATCATAATATATCAATCACTTTAATTTTATTATTTAAACATCAACACAAATGTTTACAAATGTAATATTTCGAATTATTAATTATATTCAATGATCATTATATTATATCACATTATCACATAATACATATTAAGCAAAAATAGAGAATAATAAATTCTGTGTTTACTGAGATAGATAACGAAAATACAATACACACGAGAGCTTCACAGCAGCAAGATTTTTGGTATCCTTATCACGAACATAAGCGCGCGTAGTGGAGTAATACAGAGCTACCATCATGAATATATATTTATTATTTTCACTTTCGAATTTGACGGTTTTTCAACATAGATATTTTTCGAGTGTGTGCATATTATTATCTGTAACAAGAATAATCGCACACTGTAAATTTTACAATAGCCCTAATATGAGTTATAATTGCATGTTATTCGTAAACATTTCGAATATTAATTTATTTACTGTATTCAGATTAATAGTAAAGTCAGTAGAAGTACTAGAAGTAATTATAATTCGAAATATAATGCAGATGCTGAGGTCCGGTTTTTTTTAAATAATAAATATTATATGTAACTAATAGCCTATACTATATACTATGGTTAAAAAAAACCCAAAATTCAAAACCACTAAGATTTTTTTTTGAAAATTCCAAAATATATAACCATTTTTAGAGTTAATTACCTATTACTCATTAGTAACACGAAGAAAAAACGATTGAATGAATGAAAGCATTATATATTCTCAAAAAGTACTACAAAGTGTAAAATTATACAGTTTTTAAACTTTTTAATAGATAAAAAATGATGTTTCAATAAATAATAATATGCACACAACTCATTAATATTTGTTTGTAATATTTGTAATTTTTCTTTAAACTGTTCAAAATGTCCACCATAAACTACTATGCATAACTCAATTTTATAGGCCTATAGGCTATAATCTTAGTAATGAAATTAACATGTAAAAAACTGGACATCATATCAACTTTTACAACTTTATATTTTGAATTATAACTACTGACTTTCCAATTAAATTACATACTGTATAAAATGAATTGCAATATCTATTAATAAATTTTTTAAATTTGTTTAAATAAATACAATTATTTACACAAAATTAAATGATAGACGATGGGCATAGCTGGTATGTCAATTAAAAAATTAAAAATAGTAAATTATGTAATAGTTTTTATTTTTTCAACCCGAAAGTTGGTTTACAACTCTAATTCTCCATCCGGACAATTGTTCGCCTTTTCTTTAAATTATCTGTTATTACATGTTATAGACTATAGTTATATTAATAATTTTACAATATAATAGATTATAAGTTAACTGCCTAATCAGAAATATCTTCAGTATCGCTAGCAGAACACTGATTGCAAACAATAACTCGTTAATATTTACGACAATACGATAAGTCTTGGCGACTAGTCGACCATAAAATAAACGTATACCTATAATAATGTTTTTGAGGAATACTCGCAACCACCGATAATAAGATTAAAACATAATAATATAAGAAAAACCAAAATATAAGTAGAAAGCTGTTGTTTAATTTGTAACAGTGCACCCGCTAAAGGTTTGTTTACATATTAACGAGTTTCTTTAAGGATTTTTGAAAACTATTTGGCAGAATTATTATTTTTAAGTATGGAGGCTAATAGTTATAATTGTAAATTTTGTAATAAAACATTCACAAAAAAAAAAAAGTTTATATGTACATTGTAGAAAATTTTATGACACCGATATTTTACCAGATAAACCTTTTAAATGTGAAGATTGTAAAATTCAATTTTTAACCCAAAAAAACATTAATAGTGCATAGTAATAATATTCATAAAAAGAATGAAAGGACAAAATTACAATGTAGAATTATTTGTCCTGTAGACATCTGTGAGGTAAAAGATTTAAAAACGTATATGAAGCTGAGAGAGCATTTATCTTATTTTCATGATTTAAAAATAGAGTGTGAAGAAAAACATTTTAGTGACATCTCGGGTAATAATTTTGATATTTTAAAAAGGATTTAAATTTTCATTTTATTTATTTACTGTAATTATAAATTATAATATTACAGAATTTGAAAAATGAAAACAGAATTTGGAACAACATACATCGTCAATGTATACCCTTGACAGAGCTACATCATAATTGAGAGATGGAAATCTAAGGAATTATTATTACTGTCACCGATCATATAATTATCGCAGCCAGGAAAATTATATTAGACATGTAAAATCTATGGACAGTAATAAAATTGGTACCTAAAGCTTGTCCAGCAATGTTAAAGATAACTATTTCCAACTCAAATAAAACTGTATTTATACAGTTTTGGAAGACTCATTCCGGACATATTGAAGAAATTGAACGAATTTGACTGGATCATATGACCAGAATATTAATTGCAGGTTATTACTTTCATATTATTTACTTTTATTTTCTAAGTACCTATATGACATAATATACCTAATACCCCTACTGTTACTGTACATAGAGATTTGCAATAACTCAATAATAATTCAAAACTATACATACTGTATAGGTATTGAACTATTGACTTACATCAATATCAGTAACCGTGCTAGTAATGTTATTAATATTTAATTATAATAGTCAGGCCAGTCGAGGTTAATAATTTATTTTATTATTATTCAACGTGTTTCCTTTTAAAAATAAGTCTATTGTAGTACCGTGTAAATTAATTAATATTTGAGAATTTTTTATCGTAAAATATGATTCTTGAAATAACGATGAATGATTCACCACTCACTCCACCGATCACAACCTATTTTAAGGTAGGTACCTTATGTCTTAAATCGTGCTATTAAGCTATAGGTAAATCTTTGATCCATTTTACGTCAATACACATGTATAGATATGTTGTTATTATGTAAATGATGCGATATATCTAATATAATATATAATTTATGTTCAAGCCCATGCGCAGGACTTTTTCGTGGAGAAGATTAAGAAAAAAAATTAGTATTATATAAAAAGTATTACATTTGTATTAATTTTTAAGGTGTATGAAAAATGTTTATTAATTATAGCTTTTTGATCATACATTATAGGTACTCCTGGGCACTTAATATCCAAGTACTAAAGACTCGTAAGTTGTAAATTATAACGAATTCCGAGTTTAAATTTATAATACAAGGTGGCTTGACACAACAATAATATAATAATTAAGAAGATAAAAATATATATTTAAAGCTAAATGTATAAAGTTAATCCTATTATAAACTAGTAATGATAAAACTTGTTAAGCTTTAGAAGAACATTAAAACTTCAAAAGTATTTGTTATTATATCGAGTATTGTAATCAACATTTTTTTAAGAAATACTCTTACCATATTCAAAATGTACGTATAGCAATACTTCCTATGACTGAATCGATGATACAAGAACAAGAAGCAATAGGATCTAAGATGCTGCTCAACTCTGAGTGGCTGAGTATATTACCATCGATTTTTGTTTTTGATATATTAGTGTTCTTGCTGCTCTCGACAAAATGTATACACACATGGGTAGTTTACAAAAATTAATAATTATAATCTTATGTATTAAGCTTTTATGTGACGTAAATTATCAATACCCATCCTATCTCAAGAGTTCGTGCAATTTAATTTGTTGGTAACTTGTATGGAGCCACTGTAAAGAATTTCACAATATCACACATGTCTCACAAATCTTCACAATTTTACCTTACAGTTTGATCTAAACACTATTACACAATAAACTAAAAGTGCTGAATGAACACTCTATGTCACATTTTTATTGCATTATATGACTTTACACAACAGAACCAAATATACTTGCTGCATACTTTAATCTTGAAATTAGATCGTTTTTCACCTACCACCACAAACCATCATCATCAGAATATTAAATTGTTACCGTTTAACTATTTAATTAATATTATTATAGAATATTTTGTTTTTGAAAAATAATGTAAAAGAACCAAATTATTTGTGTGCATTTGATAAAAATAAAAAAAAAAACCTAGTGAAATAATAGAGTAAAAAAATAGTAAAAATAATACTTTTCTTAAATAAATTAACGCATCTTAAACATGTTAATCATTAGTAGAGCTTGGAAGTTATAGTACTAAAAAAGTACATTTTAAGCAATTTAATTTACGCTTAAAAACAATCAAAATAGCACTAAAATTGGTAATCAAACAAAATAAAATTGTAAGCGAATTTTAGATTTTTATAATTTTACAGATTTTATATATATATTTTTTTTTTATAGAACATGGAAAAAGGTATTTAGCAACTATGGATATTTGGTCCAACTGAAATGTAAATATGGTGAATCCGTTAATTGTAGTATAATGTGGTCAGACATTTTAAAAATAATCAAATTATTGAAAATAACTGAAATAAATAGAATGATGTGATCAGCGATTACTACTGATAACGAACCAACTATTTGAAAATGATAATACAAATATTCATTTGCATATTTGTATACTTTATTGGAGTTGTATTGTTTATTTCTTGACAATTATTTATGAAATAAAAATAAAAAAGTAATTAGTTATTTTATTTACTTAAATTTTATAATACAAATTTCATATAAAATTATGTTATATTATTCATTAAGTCCCTCGTTTAACATTACAATTACTATAATATTTAATAAAATAATAAGTTATTACTGAAATAATTAATACGTTGAAATAAAACACTAAATCTTTTACAAAAGTAATAGTTAATTTTAGAATATTGAAAACAGTTTAAAATTAAAATAATAATTATACTATACTTTTGAAATAAATAAAGTAGTTAATAATTGATGATGATGTTTAAAAATTAAGTTTGTTGCTAAATCAGTTTTTAATGATGTTGTCAAGTTCATTTTTGATTGCAATGACTCCTTCAATCAGTGGACTATGAGCAAAACGGCTATACAGCATGTTTTGACAAATTACCAACAAATCTAATAAGTTCACAGCAATAGATCTCCTGAAAGATTTTAATAAAAAACTAAATACAGTAAAACTATATTCTTTCATAAATGAA